GGCCCTGGTGTTATCAGCTCTACATTCTCCCAAGTGAGACATGTGCCGGCCCTTGGATTTACTTTTATCATGTAATATTATATCGCTAAGATTCATTCATATTGTTGCATGCCTTAGTTATTTATTGCTTTGTAACAAATTACCCCCAAACTTGGTAGGTTAAAAACAATACAAATTCATTATCGCACAGCTTCTGTGGGTCAGTAAATGGACATAGCTTACTTAGTTGGATCCTCTACTTCAGAGTCTCTCATGAGGCTATTATCCAGGTGTTTAGTGAGCCCACAGTCATCTCAAGCTGGGACATGATCCATTTCTAAGCTTACTCAGTGGTTATTGGCAGAATTAAGTTTCTCATGGGGTATTGGACTGAGGGCCTCAATTCTTACTGGCAGTTGGCCAGAGGTCACCCTTAGTTTCTTGAAAGGTGGCCCTCTCCATCACAGCACATGGGAAGAGCCAGGGAGAGAATACCAGCAAGACAAATATCACAGTCTATTGTAACTGAATTGCAAAAGTGACATTCTATCACTGTTGCTGTATTCTTTCCACTAGAAGTGAGTCAGTATGTCCAGTCTGCACTCAAGCTGGGGGAATTACACAGGTTATGAATACCAGGAGGCAGGGGCAGGGTGTTGGGATCCATGTTAAAAGCTGCCTACCATACAGTAGACCACTGTTATTTATTCCTTTTAACTGCTATTAACCATTTTATGTGAATATACCACAGTTTACGTTCTGTTCCTGGGCTTGGGTCTTCCTTTCCAGGTTTTTTTGCTGTTGTGAATAGTGATGCCCCAAACATTCTTTTACATATGAGGGGACCATGGTATTCTTCTCTGAATCATTTCCAACTTAATATGTGTTTTGGGAGAGTTAGCACAATTAAGACTTCCTTGATTAATTCTACATGGAACTAATCTGGTCCCTTCTAAACTTCCATAGCATTTTACCACTTGTCACCTGTTATTACACTTATTTTGTGCATGCCATATTTATCCCTTAAAATAATAAGTTGTTGAGGGCAGGAAACAAAATTGATTCTAATGTAATTTACATAGGACCTACACAGCAGTTATACTATTTATATCACACATTTTAGTATGTACTGAGGCCGTGTATTTACTCATAGTAGTTACACAATAAACTTTTTTGATCGAATGGCTGAAGTAGCTTATTTTATAATTATTTTCAAGTAGTTAAGTATTTTCAGTCCGTCTATATTGTCAGCTGGTCAAATAAATAAACAAATACTGATTTGATTATATTTTTTATTACTTTTTTTTGATCTTAGGTATTTTTGGATAATGGAGTCAGAAGGACCTGCAGAGTCAGACAGTTCAGAAAAATTAGTATTTTCCCCACAGCAAGAAGAAGAAGAAAATAATGAAGAAGAAGCTCAAGAATCGGAGAAAACAGGCACTGTGAACCCCCTTTTACAACCTGCTCTCACAGGGGATGTAGAAGGTTTGCAGAAGATTTTTGAGGATGCTCAGAATCCTCATCATGAACAGGCCGTGCAGTTACTCTTGGAAGAAGACATTGTTGGGAGAAATTTGTTGTATGCAGCTTGCATGGCCGGGCAAAGTGATGTGATTAGAGCTTTGGCAAAATATGGTGTGAATCTGAATGAAAAGACCACCAGAGGTATTTTGTCTTTTTTTTCCCCCCTCATAAGTGTTACTTATGATTGCCTAAAGATGCTATGTGCTCTTTTTAAGGATGGCTAAATTTGATGTGCCTGCTTTATACTTTACATATATATGTACACTTGTATATGAGTGTATGTATGTGTATACATGTAAGTATATCAATGTTAATATTGTATGGCATACTATTTAAGAATACAGACTTCGGTATTTGTTAGGTTAGGCAAGTTACCTAACCTTTTTTGTGTCTCTCCCTTCAATTGCAAAATGGGGATAATAATTGTATTTTCCTTATAGGATGTTAGGAGAATTAAATGAGATTATAAATATAGATGTTGCAGTGTTTGGCACATAGTAAATTGGTATGTAGTAAATGATCAATAATATTACTGTTGTCTCTTTCCTTTGGGGATTTATTAGTTTTTAACAGTCATTATCTAATTAGCTCTTTTAATTAGTAATTATTCAGTAATTTGGTTTTTTTGACTTGCAGTATAATACAGTGATCTCTAGCAAATAAAGAATATACATTCTCTTCATGCTCACATGGGACATTTTAAAAAATTGATATATTTGGGGGCATAAAGAAAGTCTCAACAAATAGAATATGTAGCATGCAGTCTTTGGTAACAACAAAATAAAATTAGAAAATAATATCAAAAAGATAACAAAAGTCCTCTCTAATTTTGGAAACAAAAACACACTTTAAATCATCTGTTGGTCACAGAAGACATAATGGAAATTAAGAAATGTTTAAATGGCAATAGGATCACTATACGTCAGAACCTATGGGATAAAACTAAAACTAAAATTCTAGTTTAATGCATATATTAGAATATAAGAAACATTGAAAATCACTAAGGAAAGCATTTGACTGAAGAAATCAGAAAAAGAACAACTTAGTAACCAAAGAAAGTAGAAGAAAAGATATAATAGAGTCAAATAATGACATTGAAAATAAAGAAATCAACAAAACCAAAATCCAGTTCAGTGAAAAATGACAGAGTTGAAAAACTTTTGATAATATTGATCAGAGAGGGACAGAGGGCATAAATAATATTTGGAATTGAAAAATGGAACATTAATACACAAAAAAACTATGATTAAAGAAGTGAGTAGAAAATATTATAAACAACTTCATGGCAGTGCATTAAAAAACTTGGATGAAATGGACAAATTTTCAAAAAAATATGTTACTAAAATTAATTCAAGAAAAAAAAATAGAATTCTTGACAAGGTTTCTAAGGAAATCAAGTGAGTAATCAAAATCTGCCTCTCTTTCCCCCTGCTCCCCACCAAATTCCAGACTCAAATGTTTTTAAAGTTAAGATTTACTAAACTTTTAGAGGAAAAGGTAATCTTTAGTTTATAGAAATATTCCATAGACTATAAAGAGAGTTGGAAAGCTGCTCCACTAATTGTATGAGAGGGATAACTTTTATAGCAAAAGTAGTTTTATTATTATTATTAATTAATTAATTATTTTTTTAAAAGAGATGACCGGTAAGGGGATCTTATTCCTTGACTTGGTGTTGTCAGCAACCACACTCTCCCAAGTGAGCCAACCAGACATCCCTATATAGGGATCTGAACCCGTGGCCTTGGTGTTATCAGCATCACACTCTCCCAAGTGAGCCACGGGCCGGCCCTGCAAAACTAGTTTACGGATAGTACCAGAAAGGAAATTTATAGGCTGATCTAATTTAATAACATAGATACAAACATCCTAAATAAACTAGTAACAAATTGAATCTAAGAATGTATATTAAAAATTTTGAGAGTAGATTTTAAGTGTTGTCACCACAAAAAAATGATATGTGAAGTAATGCACATGTTAAATAGTTCAACTTATCCTTTCCACAATGTACACGTATTTCAAAATAACACTTTGGGGCCGGCCCGGTGGCGCACTGCTACAGTGTGCCGCTTGGGAGTGCAGTGGCGTTCCCGCCGAGGGTTCGGATCCCACATACAGACCGGTTCCCGCTCACTGGCTGAGCGAGGTGCGGGAGCAACACCGAGGGTTGCGATCCCGTTGCCGGTCCCGGTCCGGTGTGGGCGCGACACTGAGGGTTGCGATCTGTTGCCGGTCACGAAAAAAAGACAAAAAGGAAAAAAAAAATAATACTTTGTATGTGATAAATTTATACCATTTTTATTTCCCAATTGAAAATAAATAAAATCACTTTTATCACACACAAAAATTGATTGGACTAGGTTGAATTTATCCCATGAATGGAAGTATGGTCTTAACATTAGAAAAAATATTAGTGTAATTAATTACATGAAAAGTTTAAATAAGCAAAACACGATTGTGTCTACAGATGTAGGAAAATCATTTGAAAAATAATGTAGTGCTCATTCATGATGAAAGCCCTTAGGGAAATAGGAATAGAAGAAACCTTCTGTAAGTTATAAAAAACCTGAAGTAAGCTTACCTAATATTGAATCTTCAAAAGCATTCTTTAAAATCAGAACACGGCGGGCTGGCCTGTGTCACTCAGGAGAGTGTGGTGCTGATAACACCAAGGCCATGGGTTCAGATCCCATATAGGGATGGCCGGTTGGCTCACTGGGTGAGCATGGTGCTGACAACACCAAGTCAAGGGTTAAGATCCCCTTATGGTCATCTTTAAAAAAAATAAATAAATAAAATCAGAACAAGACTATGATAGTCACTATCACGATTTCCATTTATCCATTATACTTGAGATCCTAGCAAGTCCAGTAAGACAAGAAAAATAAGAGAAATAACACAGTGCTGTGCTAAAGCCAGCTTTTAGCATTGATTGTTAAATTTTCAGGGATTTTGTGAGTTGGTTGACATCATGTCCATGAGGGGTTATACGTCATGGTAATTGGTAATAGTACAAATCAGAGCCTTCCCCTCTAGAGAACTTATTTTTATACATTTACCAGCACAATACTGGACATAAGGATTAGAGTATAAGAAACAAAACTCTTGGTATTCTTAAGTACATAGACTTAAATTCAAGGGACTCTACTGTTAGTACTAATAATTTAGCAAGAATATGAATGTAAGACCAATATGCCGAATCAGTAGCTTTCTGTATACCATCAACAATCAGAGAATGTAATAAAAATAAAGATCTTATTTATAACAAAATGATGAACTAGCAATAAATATGACAAAAGAATCATAAGACATTTATGGCAAAAAGTATAAAACTTTGTTGAATTACATCAAAGAAGACATGGAAGTATATATATATTTCAGATGGTGAGATTAAATATCATAAAGATGTCAATTTCTTCCAAATTAGTTCATCAATCTAATTAGTATACCAGAAGATTTAAAAAACAAAAGAGCGTATTGAGAAGCTTACCCTAAATTTCAGTGAGAGAAATAATGAACTATTTAATATATGGTGCCAGAGAATGTTGGTTATTCACCTAGAAAAAAAGTAAAATTAGATACTGACTTGTACCATGCATAAAAATCAATTATAAGTGCTTGGAAGATGTGAATGTGAATAGCAAAAATTTTAAGCTTTCTGAAAAATAAATACAGGAATATTGTTATATTATTGAGATAT